CTAAGTGTCCTGGGACGCTTCCATCCAGCTGTGGGATTTAAGTCTTTCAAAAAAGCACTCGCTTTTCTTTGTCCCAGGGGCACCAGCTGCTGGGACCCACTCACAGGTCTTACTGTCCTGTCTCCCTAGTATCCAGCACCCCATGCACTGTGTGTCTGCGGTCTGGTGCGGATGGCTGGGGCTGTGTGTTTAGCAGTCCTGGGCCTCCTCTCCCTCCCCGCTCCAACTCCTCTCCTATCGCTGGGAGCTGGGGTGAGGGGCGCTTGGGTCCCGCCAGCCCGCAGCTTGTATCTTACCCCCTTCGCAAGGCGCTGAGTTCTCACAGGTATAGATGTAGCCTGGCTGCTGTCCTGTATCTTCTGGTTTCTCTTTTAGGGATAGTTGTATTTGTTGTATTTTCAAAAATATATATGGTTTTGGGAGGAGATTTCCGCTGCTCTACTCATGCCACCATCTTGGCTCTGCCTCCTACATTCACTCTTTATATTGTGTCTTTTGATTCACAAAAATTTTTGATTTTCATGAAGTCTAATTTGTCTATTTTTATTTTTGTTGTTGCCTATGGCTTTGGGGTCATGTTCAAGATATCACTGCCAAATGTAATGAAAAGCTTTTGTCCTGTTTTCTCATAAGAGTTTTATACTTTTACTTTATATTTAGGTTTTTGATCCATTTGGAGTTAATTTTTATATATGGTATTAGGTATGTATGACATAATAAGTTAGACAAAATACATATTTGGTCATTCATACAACCAAATATTTCTCTCTCAGGTATATTTGGTTTTCATCACAGTTCCTAAAAACACTGCAGTCTTAAAGGTGAAATGGGTGTCTTGTCATATCATTGAGACTTGTGGACCCCTTCCCAAGGACAGGGGCTAGAGGCTGAATCAGCCAATGGCCAGCAATTTAGTCATTCATGACTATGCAGTGAAGCCTTCACAAAACCCACGAGAAGAGCTCACTTGGTCTCTGCTCTGCTTTGCCTGCTCTCCTCAACTGAGTTCTGCTTCTTGGTCAGAGACAGAACTTCTATGCTTGGGAAACCAGGATGTCTCCATGTGCCACCGTGCCAGGCCCCAAGCTCCAGGAGGACAGAAGCTCCTTTATTTGGGACCTTGCTCTATGTCTCTCTTCATCTGGCTGTTAACTTGTATCTTTTATGGTACTCTTTACTAAATTGGTGATCGTTCAGTGTTTTCCTGAGTCTGTGAGCCTCTGTAGCAAATTAATTGAATCTAAGGGGGAGGTCGTGGGAAGCTGCAGTCTGCAGTGGGTAGGTTAGAAGCACAGGAACTGCCTTCCTGTGCAGAAGCACAGGGGCTTGCAACCAGGGTTTGGAGTAAGGGGTGGAGGGCAGTCTTGTAGGATGGAGTCCTTAACCTGGGAATCTGGTGCTGTCTCTAGGCAGATAGCATCAGAATTGAATTGAGTTCTCCAACACCCTCCTTGTGTTCCAGAATTGCTTCGTGGTAGTATGTATGGGAAGACCCCCTCCCACATACTTACACAGATTGGAACTGGGTCCAGGAACCCGAATGAAGTTATACTATTACTGCTGTGTATAATATTGTTAATGTTATACATATATGTAGGAAAAAATACACCATTGCATTTGGTGTCAAAGGAGAGGGAAAAACAGTAAGGATCAAAACTTATTCTTTGGCATGTGGAAATCTAGTTTTCCCAGCACCATTTGTTGAAAAGACTGTCTTTTCCCCATAGAATGGTCTTGGCACCCCTGCTGAAAATCATCTGACCATATGTTTATTTCTGGGCTCTCTATTCCATTTCACTGGCCTTTATGACTGTTATCATTGCCAGGGGCACATGGGTTTTGTTGTCACAATTCTGAGATTTTTAACAGAGCTCGATAGTTAATTGATAGCAATTAACCTGGTATTGTTAAGACTCCAAAACTCATCATCTTTTTCTAATACATGTTAGAGTTAGCTAACTAATAAATTGCTATGAATGGGAAATAGCAGGAGTAAGGCTTGAACATCATTTAACAAGATAAATGAGCTATGGATGTGAGAAGGCATACAATGAACAAAGTATAAAACAGCATTAACGAGGCTTGTGGGACCCTAACTAAATTTATGAGGTTTCTAAAAATGACACTAATCAATTGTTTATGCTACTATTGTCATACAGTTTATTTACTTCTACATGTTAATGTTATAAGCCCTACATTATTACTTTAAACAACCAATTTTTAAAATAAATTTAAATATATATATATTTATGTATATACTTGTTATTTCCAGCATGCTTCATTCCTCTAAGTAGACCTAAGTATGTACCTGGTATGGTTTTCCCTTAACATTTTCAACTTCCTTTAGCACTTCTTGTACTGTAGATCAACTGGTGGTAAATTCTCTTTTGTATAAAAATTTCATTACTTCACCTTCATTTTCACTGGATACAGAATTCTAGGATAATGTGGGGTTTTTTTCTTTCACCAATATGAAAGATGTTCTGGTTTGCATCATTTCTGATAAGAAATTTTTAATCATTCTTTTTGTTTTCTATGTATAATGTGTCTTTTTTCTCAGACTGTCTTATCTCCTTATTAATTTTCAATAATTTGACAATGACATGCCTGACTGTGGTTTTCTTTGTGTGAATCTTGTTTGAAGCTCACTGAGTTCCTTGGATCTGTGGGTTTACAGTTTTCACCAGCCATTGTTTCATGTGAGCCTATCCTGACTCCTCTCCTTCTGAAACTCAAATTATACATTAGACCACTTACTCTTCCCCAAGTTACTGGACTGGCTGTTCATTTTATTTCACTTTTTTCCCCTCTGTACTACAGCTTGGACAGTTTGTATTACTATCTTCAATTTCACTGATATTTTCTGTAGTGTCTAATCTGCCTGTTAAACCCATTTGGTGAAGTTTTCATCTTATTTCACTTCATTTTAGATCTTTCACTTCTAGAAGTTCCATTCTGTTCTTTTCTGCATCTCCTATTTTTCTCATTATGTTCATGTTTTCTTTTAAATTCCTCAACATATTTACAATAGCTGTTTAAAATCTTTATCTGCTTATTAAATTTCTTTTTCTTTTCTGGGTCTATTTATATTGCCTGATTTTTCTCCTGCTTCTTTCTAGTAATTTTTCATTGGATGGTGGACACTTTGAATGTTTCATTTTTCATTGTCTGAATTTTTGGTCTTCCTTTAAGAGCATTCTGCTTGATTATGGCAGGCAGTTAAGCTATCTGTAGATCAGCTTTCAAGACATCTTTTTAAACTTTGTTGGTATGGGTTTACAACAGCTTTTAATTTAGGGCTAGTTTAGCCTTAATATTAAGGTATGACCTTTCTGGGGTCTCTACTGAATGACCCAGATGTCCAATTAAGTCTCTTTACTGTATGTGATCAGAACTCTACCATCTCTCAATCTTTTGTTAGCTCTGGGAATTGGTCAGCTTCCAGCTTCCTGGTAGATCTTCTGTACCCAGTAACTGTTCTTTGTCCTACTTCTTAAAATCTCATTCTAAGTATACACCATTTAGTATTTGGGTAAAGATACTACTGGATCCCATGCAGATATCTAGAGCTCTTTCTCTGGGTATTGCCTTTTCTTTAATACTCTGCCCCACAAATTTCAGCCACTGCAGTCTTCCAGAATCCTGATCTCTTAATCCTCAACTTGAGACCATTATTTTCTGCTTGGAATCCCCTGCCATACACTACGATCCAGAAAGTTTTGCCAGGCAAAAAAATCATGGCCATATTAGGGCTCTCACCCTTTGTTTCCCTCCTCCCAGTGATCAAAATCCCCATTGCCAACTGTTCAATGTTTGAAAACAGATGTTTCATAGATTTTGTCCAATTTTGTCTTTATGATGGGAGTGCCAGTGCAAATCTGACACCATTACTCCAGCAAGGCTGGGAATAGAACTGCCCTTCTAATTCTTTTTTAAAGGGAATAATACTGGGTATCTTTACAGTATTAATCTTTCTCCAATCATGAATGTGTTAAAAATCATGCAAGTTTTAAACATCACTATCTCTTTGCAAATTGCCTCAATTTTAAGTGGTACTAGACAACAATTTTATTTGGAAATTCATTTTCCTCAATTTATAGCCATGCTAAGATAAACTAGAGTAGTGAAAATGGAATTCATTCCTTACAGATGCACAGTTTATTTAATTTGAATTCCATAAAATCACTTCTTTAGAAGTAGGAAGAGGTTCCTTTAGTTCTTTTTTTTAACGGCTTAAAACAACACAAGTTTCTTCTTTTACAATTGTGCTGGTCAGAATTCTAGTATCAAGGTGATGAAAGGGCTGAATTTCTTCTAGAGGCTTCAAGGAAGAATCCATTGCCTTTTTTAGCTTCTAGAGGTCATGTGTTCCTTGGTTCATGGTCTCTTCCCCCATCTTCAAAGCACATCAGTCCAACATCAGATTTTGTGGTCACATTTCTTTTTCTCTCACTTGTTTCTCAACATTCTATCTCCCTCTTATAAGGACTCTTATGATTATGTTGGTCCCATCCAAATAACCCAGGAAATCTCCCCGCTTCAAGATCCTACATTTAATCATATCTGCAAATTCCCTTTTGCCATATAAGGTAACTTAAGGTATTCACAGGTTCTGGGGATTAAGAAGTGGACATCTTTAGGAGGCCATTATTCTGACTACCACAGTAGATGAGCACCTGCTTTGTTTCCAAAACCAACCTGGGCTCAGGAAATCAGAGATGAATTAACACAGCCCCAACCCCTTGAATAGCTAAATTTCAGACCAGAGGAAAGATTTAGTTCTTATAAAATGTAAAGTTTCTTTGAGTTCTTTACATCTTGTTTTTCATAGTGACTAAAAAGCAAAATAATTAGGACAGCCATAAATAATTAATGTAAGAATAAACTATGTCTTACAATATATAGATGCAGTTATTTTTATGAACTAATGCAAAATACACCAAGAGGGTGAAGAACAGGAGACATAAATAATAATTTACCTCTTATTTGCCTGTCAACAACTCTCATTTCCTTTCTTATCTTCAAGGACCATTCATTGACCTGGGAAAAAATTTCAGAAAAGGAATTACAAGAGAAGCCAATACTTCTAATTCAGTGAATTTTAAAGAATTGTATATTAATTCTACATTTATTCCAGACAAAATCCACACACAAAATTAAGCCATTTTCAAAGAAAGAGCTTTAGGGCCACATTCTATTTTTTTTTCATTCTTTTCTTTCCTTTTTTTATTCACAGTACATAGAAGCCCCAAGCTTTCAAGGATTCTTATCAGAAGACGGGCAGTAAGAAGCATTTTATACAGGATCTCAGAGAGAGTACATTAAGATTTTTCAAGAGGTACATGAGCATAGGTATGTTTCAAGGGCATCAGAAGATTTTCAAGTTCTACAGATTATTATTCCAAACCTGTTCTTCTTATGTCATGAGAGTTCACCTTTTCTATCCCCAATGCTTTTCCATTTTACAAAAGATTTTCCTTTAACCTAACCTATATCTTTTACTACCATGATAATATTTCCCTGAAAGGCAAAAACCTTTGAAGCACTAAACATATGGCCAACTAGAAATACTAGTGTAGGGTTTAAGAAAATAATAAAATGCTAATGATTACTAAATTCCTATGCAAGTACAGTGTTTTCCAAGTCTTTTGTTTCAAAAAAACAAAAGTGAAAATCTGAGTTGTCAGCTGATAAACCATTAAAACTACTATATGCTTTATGGCATATGACAGTAAATTACTATGTGCTTTTTGGCATATGACACAGAAATACAAAGAACTGGGTGACACTGAACTAGCAAAACTCTTTCCCTACCATCTACTCATTTATAGTAATAGTTTCTCAGCACTTCAGTCTAAAAAAACATAGGGTTTTCTTCCAGTTACAGCACCTCATGATGCGGATCTCTTCTATAGCTGCAGCCACGTCATCCAGTACAGGGTCTTCAGATGCAAGATGGCCATAGGCGTGGCACACTGCATGAGCGAATAGCCTAAGTGGGTGAATGGGTAACCCTTGGCGATGATCTAACCATACATGTTGCTATATAAGCTACTGGAACCTGTTCTGCTTCTGGGCAAGGAGCCTTAGCTGGCTTGGACCTCTTGTGTCTATATGAAGGGTGTGGTCATGTGGCCCAGTTTTACACATTCTGCTAGTCTACCACCAAAGCCCTGGTAGTCTACCTCCAAAGGTCTGTGTACAGGCTTCCAAAAAAGAGATCAAAGACATCCTCACCCAATATGACTGGACCATGCTGGTAGCTGACCCCCACTGCTGCAAATCAAAAAAGTTTGGAGACGCTGGTGCTCGAAATCACTACCAGAAATCCTACCTATAAGCCTTTACAATAAACAACAGCTGTGGGATTTAAGATAAAAAAATAAGAAAATAAAACAAGAATAGAATTAATGCTGAACCCTTTAGCAATTCATCTATAGATACGTGGATTAAATGACTTAGAAATTATACCATTAAGAGACGTATTTCCAATAAATTTCACTTTTAATGATTTAAGTAAAATAATTATTTAATAAAATCTATAAAACATTTGTTATGCAAGAACTGAAACTCCATCCATAACAAGTATAAAAGCACCTAAATTAAAAATTGTACAGTTATACACTTTAGAAGTAAAATTCATGTAACATACAATTAGCCATTTAAAAATGTACAATTCAATAGCATTTAGGACCTTCACAATATTGTACAATCACCAACTCTCCCTACTTTAAAAATTTTTTTGACATGACAGAAGAACACACTATACCATTTAAACAATCTCTCCTTGAGCCCAGAAATAAACCTACGTTTATATGGTCAATTAGTCCTCAACAAAAGAGGCAAGAATATACAATGGAGAAAAGACAGTCTCTTCAATAAAGTGGTGCTGGGAAAACTAGACAGCTACATACAAAAATATGAAACTGGACCACTGTAAAAAGTAAATGGTTCAATAAACTTGAAATGGATTAAACACTTAGTTAAATATAAGATTTTAAACCACAAAGCTCCACAAAGAAAGCATAGGCAGTAAACTCTTAAATATTGGCAGCAGCAGTTTTTTTCTAGATATGTCTCCCTACATAAGAGAAACAAAAGGAAAAAAACAAGTGGGACTGCATCAAACTAAAAAGCTTCCGCACAGCAAAGGAAACCATTAAAATGAGAAAGCAGCCTACTGAGTGGGAAAAAAATGTTTGCAAAAGATGTATCTGGTAAGGAGTTAACATCCAAAATGTAAAGAGAATTCATAATAACTCAATCCCCTCCCTCCAAAAAACCCACAAATAATTTGAATAAAAAATGGGCAGAGGACATGAACAGACATTTTTTCCAAAGAAAACACACAGATGGCCAACAGACACAGGAAAAGATGTTCAACATCACTAGTCATCAGGGAAATGCAAATCAAAACCACAGTGAGATATCACCTCACACCAGTCAGACAGCTAGTATCTAAAAGACAAGAAATAACACATGTTGACAAGGATGTGGAGGAAAGGAAACTGTCATGCACTGGGAGTAGAAATGTAAAATGGTACAGCCACTGTGGAAAACAGCATGGAGATTTCTCAAACAATTAAAATATTCTATGACACAGAAATTCCACTTTTGGGAATTGACCCAGAGAAAACAAAAACACTCATTAGAAAAGATACATGCACTCCAATGTTTACTGCAGCATTATTGACAATATATGGAAGCAACCCAAGTGTCCACTGATAGATGAACTAATAAAGAAGATGTTATATAAATTATTTTAAATGCAGATTCCTGGGCTACTTAAAACCTAACAAACTGGAATCCTAGGGGATAGGACTAATAAATCTGCCTTTTGGACAAAAAAAAAGATGATGCTATATATACACACACACACACACCTCAGCCATAAAAAAAGAATGAAATCTTGTCATTTGTGACCACAGAGATGGACCTAGAGGGTATCATTCTAGGTGAAATAAGCCAGACAGAGAAAGACAAATACCATATGATTTCACTTCTATGTGGACTGTAAAAACAAAACAAAACAGCATTAAACTCAAGACACTGAAGTGACTGGTGCTTAACATGAGGGACGGGGGTGGGAGTGGGGAGGGGGATAAAGGGGCACAAAATTCTCAATCATAATATAAGTTGGTGATGGGATGGTAGTGTAGCATGAAGAACATTAGCCAAAGGTTCTGTAACATCTTTCTATGTTGACAGATAGTAACTGAACTATTTGGGATAAAGATTTAATGATGTATGTAACTGTTGAACCGCTGTGTTTCATACTTGAAACCAATATAATATTATATATCACCATACTTCCAAAAAATAAAAATAAATAAATAATAAAACAAAGGAAAAAGGCAAAAAGGAAGGAAGGAAAGAAGGAAGGAAAGGAAGGAGTGATGAAGAAACAACAAAAAAGTATAACAAATAGACAACAGTTACAATACCATATTAATCCAGCTATATCAATAATCATTTTAAATGTGAATGGTCTGATTAAACCAATTAACAGAGTGTCAGAAGAATTTTTTTAAAAAAGATCTAACTATGTGTTGCCTACAAGAAAACCATTTAAATATAAAGAGTAAAGTTAAAAGTAAAGGAATGGAGAGATACACTATGCAAACACTAATCAAAACCAAATCTACTCCTCACACAGTATATAAAAATTAGCTCAACAGGAATCAAAGACCTAGATAAAGGAGCTAAAACTTGTTAAACTTTTAGAAGAAAACATAGGGAAAAATCTTCATAACTTTGTATTTAGCAATGAGTAATCAGAAATGTCCCAAAGCCTGGGCAATAAAAGGAAAAAAATACATAAATTTAAACCTCAAAAATTAAAAACTGTGCATCAAAAGAGATTATCAAGAAAGCAAAAAGATAACCTATAGAATGGGAAAAAATATTTGCAAATCATATATCTAATAAGTCTACTACTAGAATATATAAGGAATTCATTCAATAATAATAAGCCAATTAAAAAATAAAAGACATAAATAGACATTTCTCCAAAGGAGATATATAGCCAATAAGCACATGAAGATATTTAACACAATTGGCAACATATTGGCTACAATAAAAAAACAAATATTGGCAAAAATGTACAGAAACAGGAACTTTTGCACTTTGTTGGAGGGAATATAATATGGTGAAGCCCCTGCGCAAAAGAGTTTTGGAGTTCCTCAAAAAGGTAAATCAAGAATTACCATAAGACTAACAATTCTACTTCTAGGTATATATCCAAAAGAACTGAAAGTAGGTACTCAAATACTTGTACATGAATGCTCATAGCAGAGCTATTCACAATAGCCAAAAAGTTGAAACAATTCAAATGTTCATCAATGGATGAATGAATAATACATTTGATGAATACAACAAAATTACCATTAGCTATAAAAAGAAGTACCAGCTACATCAAGAATGAACCTTGAGAACACTGTAGTAAATTACAGAAGCCAGACATAAAAGGACATATATTGTATGAGTCTATTTATAAGAAATATTTAATAGGAAAGCAGATTGGTAGTTGCCAGATACGGGGGAAGAACATAATGGGTAGTAACTGCTCAGAGGGTATGGGGATTTTATTTTGGAGTGATAAAAATATTTTGCAAGTAGACAGAGGTGGTGGCTGCATAATGTTATGAATATACCAAATGCCACTGAATTGTTCAAGGTAAAATGGTTCCTAGGTTGAAATCTAATCCCCAGTGTAATGAAATGTATTTGGAGATGGGGCCCTTGGGAGGTGATTAGGTCATGAGGTTTAAAGAGGTGATTTGAATAGGTTTAGTGCCCTTATAAAAGAGATCCCAGAAAGCTTGATTCCCCCATCTGCCATGAGAGGACACAGTGAAAAGATAACGATCTATGAACTAGGAATCCGGTCCTAACCATACACCAAATCTGTGGGTGCCTTGAACTTGGACTTCCCAGCCTCGAGAACTGTGAGAAATCAATTTCTGTTGTGTATAAGCTACCCAGTCTATAGTACTTTTTATAGCCGCCCAGACTAAAACATGTATAATGAAAAGTATGTT